TGTATCACTCTGGGTATCATAATCCAAATAGCTGCCCTGTAATGCTGCAGCCGCTTGTTTTGTAAGTCTACATTTCCCTTCTCCGAAGCTCTTCCAACCCCTCAAGTTTAAAGTCCTACTTACCTTTCTTTTATTTAAAATGTATCAGCTGAAGCCAATAAACCTCCTTTCACCTACGTATTACTTTCTTCAAGCTGACCACCTGCAGGGTGACGAAATGTTTGCAACCAAACCCACCAGCTCGGCAAGCGTATCTACAATCTCATTCACAACCTGAGCTACAAATCTTCTTGAAAACTTTTGACTACTCCATTCGTAAAAGGTACACATCTTTAAATCTGACTTAACATTGCAATCTCCACTACCTGCACTCCAAATTAACTTCATTGCTATTCAGATTATGCTTGATTTTTTTCTGTGTCTAATCTTTAGCAATGCTATTGGAATTACGATTTCCTTTTGTAATTGGTGGGCAAATAATGGCTATCTTCCTTATATATCTAAGTGAGGTAGATTGAGCAGAGTCATTTCTACCCAAAGGGAATCAATCCCTTTCTTTTAAAATCTTGGAAAATTACATTTCATTCAGCTTCAGTTCAAACATTTATAAACAGCAAGCATGTCAGAGAATCGTTATTGTGTCCTGAATTTATACATCCCCTTTCAATATTGCAGGTCACCCCGAAATGCTCCACAGTGAGGTACATCATGAAGCATAGTCACTGTTGAAGTATATCTCAGTGACACATTGAAGTAGGCTTCATTTTAATATCAATGAGTTAATATTTCTCAGATCCACGTATGTAGCATTTACCTCTCTTACAAAAACAGAAATTAGTGGAGAAACTCAGCAAGCCCAACATCAACAGTCCTTTGCTTTATTTCTGAAGAAGGGTCCAGACCCGAAACGTCAGCTTTCCTGCTCCTCTGATGCTGCTTGGCTGGCTGTGTTCATCCAGCTCTACACCTTGTTATCTTTGCTTTATTTTAACTTGTCTTCTACCCTTTCCCCCCTCCAAAAATAATTTCTGCAAGTCTCCTAAAGACAGCGTCCCTGTAACAATTCCACACAAAACTACTATTCTATCTTACAAGTCCTGTTTCTTTCAGGACCATATTCGGTTGCATAGATACCTACAGTTGAACAGTTTATTTTGTTCAGTTTGCTTCAGATTTTAAAATACTACATCATATCTCAAAAAGTAGATATTTTCAAAACTGTTCAGTAAGAAATTAAAATGTGGAAAAAGTGTCTGCATTAAAAGTTGTTTAGTTCACAGTATTCTGAAAAACAATAAAATGTAGCTTTTGGGAAGGAGAAAACAGAGTTAACGTTTCGGGTCCAGTGACCCTTCCTCGGAACTGATAGTGGCTGGGAAAATAGGGAGGTGGGTGGGCTAGGGAGTAAACGATAGGATAGAGCCCGAAGAGAGAGAAAGACAGTTGGACAGACAAAGGAGTTGCGGAGAGAGGAGCAGAACTTCTTCAAGGTGGGCATGCCTGGAAGAGATGTGGCAGTGAGTTAAATACTAGATAAGAATTGTGCCTCAAATGGGTGTGTATTCAAAACGTGACAAAAATGCAGTATTTGCATCTATTTAAAATAATCTTAATGATAACTACAAGTATTTTGAAAAACTGACCATTAACTCTACACAAAATTTCTCTTTTGGAACTAGCAATTCAGTTACATCTGGTTTAGCGTCCCAGCTTGTGATTGCCTACCTGGTGTATCTATTAAATTGACCCGATGGTTTTTCCAGTCAAAAGTGACAGCAGCTGACTGGATGGTAATTCCACGCTCACGTTCCTGTGCCATAAAATCAGTCACTGTGTCTCCATCATCAACATCTAAGTAAGAAATAGAAGATTCAGTGAATTTTTTTTTTTAGTTACATTAATGAAGCCCAAATCACAATTACATAGAAACACAGAAAATAGGAGTTGGCAATTCAGCTGATCAAACCTACTCTGCCATTCAACATGATCATGGCTGATCCTCCACTTCTTGTATTCTTCTCATATCCTGTGATACCCTGAATCTCTAGGGCAATTTATTTTTTTCTTAAATACATTCGTGAATCCACAGCCTTCTGTGGTAGATTTCCCTGGGTTCATAACCCATTGAGTGAAAATATTTCTCCTCATCTCAGTTCAAATGGCTTACTACATTTCCTGAGACTGTGATCTCTTATTCTGGAACCAGAGCCAGGGGAAACATCATTCCTGCATTTGTCTGCTGGAATTGTATATGTTTCAATGGGATTCCACCTCAGTTCAACTAAACTCAAGTGAATACGGGCAGAGGCAACGCAGTCTCTCCTCATGCAAGAAACACTCCAGCATATGTAATGTGAAATTATGGACGAGATTTCATAAAGTGTTTATTCAAACTTCCTACAATTATAGTACACTCTGCCATGCTTGACAGATCATGATGTTACGCCCACATTTCAATTTCATTGGCTTTATGAACTTAACCATACTGCTGAAATGGAGATGCTGTGGACAGATGTTAGTGGAGAATGAGTCTCCTCACACAATTTGCATGTCAACAAGCCACACCTACAACAGAATATTCAGCAGATATTGCAGATTCTATACTTCCTTGACAAAAGATTCATATTGCTTACCTTCACTTAATTTTTCAAAGTATGCATTAGATTGTATTGTAATGAGAAGAGACTTCATCAAGTAAACAATTGTATCCTTACCTCCAAGTGCCCTGGTGTATCCTGCATAATAAAGCATTCTCTCTGTGGTTGTGGTTTTTCCTGCATCGATATGAGCCATGATCCCAATGTTCCGTATTCTGCTAATATAGATTTACTTTCTGAATAAAGGATAAACTACGCTATTTTGTTTATCTTAATTTTAAAAATTCTGGGTGATAAATGTCACAGATTGAAATTGACTTTATCATGCTCAATCAATTAATGAAAATATTGTTTTCTTCTGGAGATCTGAATGACAGAGAAATGAACAAGTTGCAAACAAATCTGGAACTTAACACATATCAGGAGTAAATGCATGGAGTCTCAAAACACTGTTGCCTTCAGAAACTTAAAGAATTCTTCTCAGGGCCAGTGAGAATCCAAACAGGGTAACAATTAAAATTGGCAGAAAGAGGTATATATTTCACAAGGTTGTGCAAGGGATAAATAGCACCCATGAGCAAACAGCTGAAAAATATAATTTACAAGGAAAGCTCGGCTCCCTATTAATAAATAGTGTTGCTCTTAATTGTAGAGACAAATATATTAACTACTGTAATAGCAACTTAAGAATAGGCCATTCAGCCCATTGAGGCTGATCTACCATTTAATACAATTATGGCAGATGAAACACTCCAATGCCTTTTAGCTATAGTATCCATAACCCTTTACGCCATTGATAAGCAAAAATGTATCAACCTCTACTTTAAAACTGCTCAAAGTCTGAGCTTCTACAGCCATTTGACCTAAAGTAAAGAAACCAAAACTGTATCTGGATTCTAAACTCTAAAAATATTTCCCTCTCCTCAGATGTTGCCAGGTCTGCACAGTTT